AACATGCATAAAGGACAGCAGACAGCCCCGCCGGACGCCGGCTCCTTGCAGGTGCCTGCGGGTCACGTTCGCGGCTGAATTCCAGCCCCGGCCGCCAGCAGCCCCTGGGAGCTGCTCCTGGGCGTCGGAGGGCCGCAGGCTTTGCCACGGGCGGGCCAAGAGCAGCACAGCCAGGCCTCGCCCGGTCCCGGCTCCCTCCGCATGGCGGCGCCTCGCCTTCCCCCTGCGTGGTGCCGAGAGAGCCCGCGAGGCCTCTGCAGCGCCGGGCTCAACAGCCACGGCCCGCACGGCCAGAGCCAGGGCTCCAGAAACCCTGAGACACCGCGACAGCGCTGCCGTCCCCTGACCTCCAAGCTTCCAGGATTGCTTTCTTCACGGTTTTCTCCCCAGTGCAAAGGCTTCTCCTCAGTGAAAACAAAAATACGTGGCCGGTATTTTTGTTGAAACAAATAAATTGAGTCCACAGTAAAGGGTTTTTTTTCACTGTTCAGCAGATATTCCTTATTAGCAGCACTGGCGTCGCCCTGGGGGTTCTCTAGCAGAAGGGCTCCAAGGGACATCAGTTTGCACACACACAAATCATACATATTCATTAGATTTCCCAGAAAGGGCTGACTTATGGTAATGAGTTCCCAGAATTCACTTACATAGTCCAAGTGTTCATAGTGAAAATAGGGCGAGGGTCTTCTGTCGAGGGAAGAAGTGAGCAGTCCTCACAGTGTTCACAAGCTGACCTTGCCGGAGCGTGCGCCGTGAAGTCAAGTCCAGGTGCCTCCTGCCTAAATCGGCAGAATCCTCCTCCTTACAAACGGGTCTCTGTGTCTCTTTGTTCAAGCCCCCGCTTATCTTAGTTGGCTCATTCTAGGAGTTGCCCGACGAGCGTTTCAATCCTACCAGACCAGACAAAGGGACCTCAGGAAAGAGCTGAGGAGTCAGGAGTCCTTGAGAAACGAAGCAAAACACAAGCAAAGCTTTGAAACAAACGAAGCCAAGCACAAGCAAAGCTTTCAAACATCACAGTTCAGTCTTAACAATTGTCAGAAATGTATTTGTTTGAGCCCTTTCGTTCCCTTTCGGGGTAGTGCTTGGATGAACTGCACTCCTCCCAGCAGTGGGTAGGGGATGCCCTGAAAACCATGGCGGTGGGGGAATTGCCTCCAATTGTCCTGACTGTCTGCCCACAGCGGCCGAGACAGAGCTGGCCTCCACCCGCCTTTCGGCAATAAACCCAACCGGTACACAGCTGTGCTGCAAGAAGGAAGCTCTGTCCTCTCCCCAGCACCCATACCGCTGCTGCAAGTCTTCCCACCTCATTTCATCCTTTATTCCCAAAGCCACTGCAAAACATGCCTCTGTTTATCTTTGTATCTGGGCTCTTCCCTGTTTTCATTCTAACTCATTATTTATTCAGAACTTCGTCTCAGGAGGAACCAATACACTCTACCTCTGATTTAGGGCTATGCTTTAAGCAGCTAAATCTAAACTAAGCTGAGCGCAAGGAGGCTTTGAACAGCTTTTCATACAAGATACCCTATTATCCAGTGCTAACACTAACCGTTAGTTAGTGCTCTGGACCCAGAGTGCTATAGGACATTTAATTTTTCAGAGAAGCTCTATCTATGCCCACCCTGTAGATATGTGCAGTTGTAGATCTGTGCATCACTTCTTGGCTATTCCAGATCAAGTATTTATCTGCCAATAAGCAATATCTCCCATGCCATTCCCTCAAAGGATACATAGAGTGCATGGCAAGATAATTTTTTAATCATATTTTTTCAGTTTATTTGCTTCAAGTCTAGCCCTTCCAATTTTGGTGGCTAGACCATTATTTATAATTAATGCTCCTTTAGGGGAAAAAAAACAGTCTTTCCAGAAAAGCTGGCATTTCAGGAAAAAGCTCTGTTTATGATCCAAGCTAAGCTTTAATAAGTGCAAACTATTATCTGTTTGAAATTTATGCACTCTAAGCTGTATTTCGTTTGGGAAATTTGCATTTGTCCCATATGTATTCAAAGCTAGGAGGCACAAAATAACTTACACAGTTTTTTCTTGACTATATAATCTGTCTGGCAGTAATTTTCCTTCATCATCCTGGTTACAGTACAGTTTTCAAGATTTTACCCTGACAGGCAATTTGTGTTGAGAGCCTGTGGAAACACATATGGATTTTTTGATCTTGAGAAGGAATGGTAGTTTGCATAATGTGTATCAATCTAAAAATACGTCCTAATGCTCTCTGCTTTGAAACAAATTTGGAGTTTTCTGTTTGACCAAAAATGTTTTGTGAAAAAGTAGAAGTAAATTACTACCTTTTTAACAAAATAATTCCAAAGACCACGCAGACTGGAGCCAGCTTAGGCTCTCTTACCTGGCAGCAAATGAGTACTTCAGAATAAAAAGTGCCATCGGCATCAGGAAAAAAATATTATTTTTAGAAGATGCTTACACAAACCTCACATTTAAAAACACCCAGTAGCTGAATACAGAGGAGGGTCTATCACCCCAAACCCCGGTATCTGCACCCCGCTGTCCTGCCTTTGTTGTGATAGAGCAGAGCAGTGTCCACAGTGTATCTGTGCCGTTAGCAATAGCCAGCGGGTATTCTGGACCTTATTTGGAGCATTTAAACATGTTCTTTCCTGTAGGAAAACCATGTTGTTAGTAGCCACATAAATACAGTTCTTCACATCACATATTTTATAATAATGCCTTACTGAAAGACATTGTACATGGGATCCTTACCTGTTATCTTTAAAGAGTGTAAAAGTAATATATTATTCTAGATAAATTGCGTCCCGGTGATTGTTACGATACTCAAGACTACTTTTAATTACAAAGTTTCCTCTAGGAAAAATGCAAGACTTTCCTTTTAGTTTATATGTAAGATAATTTTCTGCAGAAAAATTGGCATTCAACTTCCAAAACTTAAATGATTCATACTGACTTTGTGAGCTTTGGATCAAGTACTTCAGCTGGAAGAGTATCAAGAGCCTGTTTTGTATGAGGTTTGGACCATTAGATTTACATACATGGGAGATGAAGTAATGCAGAATTTGATGCTGGCATTCAATACGTCACCATATCTGTAATTAGATTATTTAAGTTTCAGCCATTTTATGTGTCTTCTCTGGAGTTCAGTTTTATTTTTATTTCATCTACTTAGATCTGATTTTCATAATCAAACATAATTTTGTAGTTTTGCGGTTGACTTTCACAAATGCAGGGCACACAGAATAAAGGAGCGCATGCCTAATTTCTCCCAGAGTCACTTTTCCTGAAAGTAAATGTAAAGTTTATAAGGAAAAAAACCAACTGAAATTCAACTAAAATCCATCTGGTGGAGTTGTGCTCTCAGTTATAAACCTTCTGAGCTTCTTGAGGCTATTCCTGTTGCCATTATCTTCCTTTGTTCTCATACTGCTCTTGACAACAAGGGAAGCCAGATTTCTTAAATCTGTGGGGTTTGTCTATTCAGTCTATATTAAAATATTCTTAAACTGGTTTTGGAACTCTGTATTTAAAGCTACAGTTAGAAAGAACACCTGAGCACAGAGGCAAGAACCTTACCAAGACTGACTTTTAGGGTTTTGTAGCAACCCACATTCCTACTTTGATTTGCAATCCCTTAAATTTGTTTCAAGCTTCAGCGTCAAACAAAAGAAAAGGTTGCTTATACCTATAGTGGAATAATTGGAAGCAGCTTCTACTGCATCAGGACCGAGGGACTCTGAAACTCGTAAGGTGTTTGTGAATGGATTTCCTCTTTAGCTAAGGTACACAGGACTCGCCTCACTCACTGCAGAGCTGAGAGATGCCTGGGAAAGTGAGAAGGTCTGTTAAGTTCAGTACTGAGCAGTTTACAGATCGATGAAAACCAGGCATTTGGGCATTCCCAGTGAACTCCCTGCATCGTGTTCCCTGACCACATTTCCATTCCGTAAGGCTCAGCCCTTGAGACAGATGACTGGGACACAGTTTGTGACCCTCAGGCTTGATTTGGCCAATTTTACTTCCATCCAGGCTCCTGCCACTCACAGAAGACGTGGGTGCAGCTGCATGCCAGCCTGGAGAGGGGAAAGCTGCCAAAGGAGGAGAGAAGGCTCCTCTTCAGAAGAGTCACTCACCGCATCCTTCGTGCATCCGTGGTGGGCTGCAGCACCAGAGTGCCTCCAGCAGAGACCCCACCTCCTGTGAAGGGGAGGTCCCAGACCCAAGATATCAAAGTTTCTGAGGTTAGAGAGCTATGAATTACCTTAATACTGAAAATGAAGAAGGAACAGAAAATAAAAGTCTGTTTTTTTCTCAGGCTTCCTTTTATCTTTCCATAAACAATCCTGCAGTTCAACTTCCACTTTCATGAACATTTACCAAAAGCCAGTTTTAAAATCTCATAAACCAGGATTTGCAGG